GCCTAGAGTATTCCCCGCTCTATTAATAGTTAATCTATAAGCTATAGGAGGTCAAGTGCTTCCTTAAAGAGAACCTCTAATAGAACTTTATTAAGCCAAGCTAATTCCCTTTTATATCTCTAATCCTCTTTATAAAGAAGGCTAATAGAGCTCTCTAATTCTATATTAACTATTATAAGCTAAATAACTTAATATAAAAGAACTATTATCCTCTTTCCCTTATTTATAAGACTCTTATATGGCTAGCTCAAGCCAAGGTCTATATAAAGCTAGATATTCGGTAAACATTCTATTAGATCCGAATAGACCCAGAATTAGAAGAACTTATAATATTCCGTATAAGATATAGGGCCTATAAGTATAAGGTTCTTTGGGAAGGCCTAACTAATAGCCCTACTATATATTAGAGATATATAAATAATATTCTCTTTAATTACCTTAATATATTTTATATAGCTTATTTGGATAATATTCTAATTTACTCGAATAATTCCCTAAAGTATAAAAACTATATATAAAAGGTCCTTTAGTAAATACGGGATACTGGCCTTTAAACAAATATTAAGAAATCAGAATTCAAGGTTATTTATATAAAATATCTAGGCTTTATTATCTCTACTAGAGATATTAAAGTAAATCCAGATAAAATAGTAGTTATTAAGGACTAGCGACTACTAAAGATAATTAAAGAAATATAAGGCTTTCTGGGTTTTTATAACTTTTATTAGTACTTTATTATAGAATACGGCCATATAATAAAGCCCCTAATAGCTCTAATATATAAGAGAGTTCCGTTTAAATAAATAGATTAGTATTAAGAAGGTTTTACTAAGCTAAAGCAAGCTATACTCTCGGTACTAATTCTATACTACTATAACTTAAATCTCTCTACTATAGTTAAAACAGATATATTAAATAGAGTTATAGCCGGTATTCTCTTATAGTAAGACTTCTAGATAGGACTCTAGTACCCGGTAGTATTTTTCTTTAAGACTATATAGTTAATAGAACTAAACTATAATATTTATAATAAAGAGATACTTGTTATTATTCTCTCTTTAACCGAATAGTAAATAGAGCTAAAAGGCCTATAGGAAATATCTTTTATAATTTACTTAGATTACTAAGCCCTTAAATACTTTATAATTATAAAGAAGCTCTTAATAAGATAAGCTTACTAGGTAAAATATCTTTCCTGCTACTATTTTAAGCTTATATATCAGATAGGCAAGTCAAATAAATAAGCAAATGCCCTAAATAGGAAATACAAGGATATAACTGCCCAGAATAAGGTAATAGTAGTCTACCAAACCCAAATTCTCCTCCTATAATAAAAGATTAATAATAATATTATACGGGATCTCTAGTTAGCTCTAATTAAGGCCTTTATAAACCCGGCTTAGGAAGAAACCTAGTATAATAGTATCTAGCTAGTAAATAAGCTATTAAGTAAGAACCAAGAGTTACTAGAGCTAGAAAAGCTATAGGACAAGGCAAGAAACGAAAAGGAAGGTACTTGGATATTATAAGACGGCCTCTTCTTATAATATAGTAAACTATTTATACCTAATAGTATAATAATACCCGAGATATCCTTATATACTACCCTTATTTAGGAGGTATATATATAGCCCCTAATAAGATACCCAGAATAAGCCAAGCTTTAATAGCTTCTTTAGGCCCGCTATTACTAGCCAGGCCAAGGTATAGATATTAATTAGTATAGGGATAACTACTATACCTACTAATAATCCCACGTTTCCAGAAACAAGAAGCCAGGGCTCTTATATCTATTACTAGTCCCTAACTGCCCCTAGTAGTATATATTAGTGGATTTCAAGAAGTGCTCAGAGAATAGGAATAAGTATAATATAGTAGTAATCTTTATTAACTACCTAAGCAAGCGCCCTATTATAATTCCTGTCCGAGATATAGTAATAGCTAAAGAGTTAGTACTTCTATTTCTTACCTATATAGTTTACTAAATTAGTATCCCGGAGACTATAGTATCTAATTGAGGCCTCTAGTTCGTATTAGATTTCTAGAGCGAATTCTATAAGTATATTAGTATAAAGCTCAAGTTATTAACTACTAACTATCCCCAAACTAATAGCCAGATAGAGATTATTAACTAGTACTTTAACTAATAGCTATATCCCTATATGAATTACTACTAGGATAATTGGGACGAATAGATAGCAATAATCGACTATTAGCAGGCAGCTCTAGTCTATAAGACTATAGGCTAATCCCCGTTTCTTATAAAGAAGGGCTATAAACTACAAATATTATTCGACTAGGAAACCCAAATATAATCGGGTATCCTAAAGGAAAAGCTAAATAGATAGGAGGCAAAGGCCCTAGTAATATGGTTCTATGAATTATAGCAAAAGATATAGGAGAATATAATATAAGTACAAGAATATTATACTACTTAAGCTAATAAATACTACTAACTAGTAGACTTCGGAGTAGGAGATAAGGTATGGATTACTACCAAGTACTAGAAGAACGATTATCCGAGCTATAAGCTAGCTTACTAAATAGAAGAACTATACGAAATCCTGGAATAAGTAGGATATTTCTTTAGGCTCAAGCTTCCGGAATTAATAAGAATATATCTGGTATTCTATATAGAGAAGCTATATAAAGACCCAGGTAACCTTCTTCCCGGATAAGCAAATCCGGAGCCTCTACTATTAGAACTATAAGACGGGGAAACGGAGTACGAAGTTCAAGAGATATAAGCAGTAAAACTGCTTTATAGGAAGCTAAAGTACCGAGTCTAGTAGAAAGGATAGGACCCAGATCCGGAGTAATATCCTGCTTCCTTATTAAGTAATAGTACCCTAGCTCTTTAGAGCTTCCATAATAAGAACCCCGAATAGCCAGGACCGCCCCAGAATCTCCCCTATTAGTTAGACTATACCAAGAATAATATACTACCGGAACCATATAATACGGACGGAAATCCTTTAAAGTTATATATAAAAGGCCCTGGCCTTTAATATGTAACCTGCGACTTGGAAATTTAATAGGGACTTTCGAAGCTCGGGGACGAGTTTACTTCGAAAAAGGGGGTAATATTACGGTTATTATGATATATAGTACTAGTAGGGGTTAGACTAGAGCTAGAGAGGCATCTAGTATCTGAGCGAGGCATCTATAGTCACCTGATCGTTGCACGTGACCCCGAGCTTAAGCTAGTACGTGGGCCCGTATATAGCTCGCGATTATTTAGATCCGAGGCTCCTTCGGGATCCTCTTCTCTCTTTAGCTTTAAATCATCGAAATAAAGACAGTCTAACTACGCCTTCTAGGCCCTAGATCTTGTACTCGTAATAAAGTATATAATAGCAGGATAATATATAAGTAGTTAAGATAAGTAAGCTATAGAATAATACTTATAAGTATAACTAATTCCAAGAATTAGTTCTAGTAGAAGACTAATTAATGCCTCTTTCCAAAGCTAGGAGCATTTCCCTATATGTTCTCTAGTACTTAGCCAAGCTTATAAAGCACTTTATTTAACTAGGAAATATAATCTCATATAATCCGTATAATTCTAATTACAAGCTTTACCCAAAATAGGAAACTAGATTTACGATATCTAATACCTGTTTATATACTATTACATATGCCTATTATACTACTTTAGTTTTAATAGCTAGGAAATATTTAAGAATTTTAGCTTTCTTGGCTTATAGTAAGAGATTCTTCTCTTAAGGTACTCGTATTATAACTAAATTACGTAATAGACTTAATAAGAGTACTTTTGAAAAAATAGCTTGCTTAAAAAGTTAGGGGTTATTTAAAGACGAATTAGAAGAGGCTAAAAAAGAAGAGAAAAAGAGAGAAAATAAGGAGAAAAAACAAGATTTTAAGGAAAATAATTAATTTATTATTATAGAAAATTAGTACTTAAGTAGCCTTATATAAGTACTAGCTTAGCTTATATAAGGCTGCTTAATAAGTACCTTAGTTCTTTTTTAAAAATTTAAAAATATATTAATTTACTGGAATCACGTGATTTGCAGTTGACTATTCATGAATATTCATGAATATATATTCTACTCTACTCAAATTTTTTGAGTTTTACGCTACTCATATTCTATTCAAGACTACTCATGAATATTCATGAATAGTATGAATACCTTGAGTATGTCTTGCTCACACTGGGGATGCAGAACTGGGGTAAATATGGGTCCAGGTTAGAGTCAATCCGTAGAATACTTTACGGAAGATACGGAGGGTGAGGGCGTGCAACATAGAAATGAAACATTCCGAGCCTGATGATGTAACTTCATTATTTCAGTGCACAGGCAGTTCGTGCTCGTGGGATTTTTGGGCTTTTGGTCTGATTGTTACAGCATTTTGAGGAAGAATAAATCCAGAGGTAAAAAAAGTAAAAAGCAACAGAAAACCACACAATACCTTCGTGAGAGGAGAAAATCTTCTGCGAGGCTATCTATTGAATAATTGGAATAAGCAAGCCGACGATTGGCATGATAGTACAAATGAACCCTAACTGATAGACCTCGCTGCGGCTTCGCCGGGAGTCACCGTAGAGGAGAGTGAAGTGATAATTCTGAACATACACCGATCGGTAGTACCATAACATCAAAACGGGGACACGTGTAATTTAGCAAATGCCATGGGCCCAATATAGAAATCTATGTATACACAGTATGACCATATCACCTAAAAGTCTTCGATGTAGAAGTTCAGTGAAAGGAAGAGAATCTCGGATGGAAATCTCACGACGTGTCCTCAGCCACTTCTCCTCTGGCGCCTCCCCAAAAAGGCCTAGCGTCACGCCGAAAAGCGCCGGGGCAAAAGATTGCGAATCGCGACCATCTTCTTCTGCCTGCGCAAAGCAAAGCATAGCATCTCCAGCCCTCAAATACAGCTGCACTCCTCTGTCCTTCCTCTGGTCGCATTCAATTACGACCACACGCAGAAGCTCAATCCACTTTATCCCATCCCTCAGTTACTTGCCCAAAAAAACGAGATGGCCGGCATTTCTCCCCAAATGTATGGACACCAGCCCTCGTGCCCTCCTTCCCCCCATTTATCGCTGCTCTACTGACTTGATGGCATAGTACCAACTTGGTAATCATCCTCGTGATGCATGCGCAACATCTCCCATACCAAATCGCCAGTCACTGACCTCAGCTTCAGGATGCAAGTTTCCAAGCGTATTCCCATGGAAGACTCGCAGACGCTCATGCTCATCCGGGCTGGTTACGTACTGTCGAACGTGGTCATTATCTCCATCTACGCCTACGTGCACTTCCTGATCAATAAGAAGAAGGGTGAGCATCGCTGACACCCAGGAGGACCCATGAAAGCACTGCTGACAGCCCTTGCCCAGATATGACAACACTGAAGTACGTCGAGCAACCCCAGATGGGAAGCACCGAAGAGCCCAAGCTTGTCACGACCACCAACCACAAGTACGATGTTGAGCAGATGAAGGCTCTGTACAAGGCACAGATCATGGGAGTGGGAATGATGGCCGTCATGCACCTGTACTTCAAATACACCAACCCGCTCCTGATCCAATCGATCATTCCTCTCAAGGGCGCGTTCGAGGGCAACGAGATCAAGATCCATCTGTTCGGGAAGCCAGCCATCGGTGATTTGAAGCGTCCTTTCAAGGCTGCTGCGGGCTTCATGAGCGGTCTCCAAGGAGGAGCTGCCCCGACTCAGGACAAGAAGACCCTCGAGGCTGCAGAGAAGGCCGGGCGTGGTGGTGCCAAGGAGGAATAGATGCTTCGTTCGCCTTCTTGGAAATAGATTAAGGATTTGTACGTGTAGGCTGGACGCTGCCAGTTGTGCTGGGGGTAGATGGGTTTGGAGGGCCGTTTGCGCCTCTTGTATTTGTAGATGGTCTCGGATGCGCTCCAAGCCAATGCATCTTGACTTCTAGAATTGTTCGCCCTGTCAATTACCATGAAAATCTGTGCATAATTCACTAGTAGTGTCTCAAATGATCCCGTTTCCGGAATCCCGGATTTAGCGCCTCCAAGGCTGTCGTATTTTCGAAACCTCTTCGCCACTCGTTCAGCCTTGTTCTTTCAACATCGAATAATCGTGACACGACTGCAAGTCTGCACAACAATACCAACCATGGAAAAGCCGTCCACGCCTCCCCGGCCAGCTACCGCCAGGCAAGCAGTCTCTCCACCGACTCCGGAAGTGACGCGCAGAATTGTACGTCAACCCTCTCTCCTCAAGTCTTCCGTCTAACGCCCCCCAGGAAGAAAACAGGCTCAAAGCCAAAGCCCTCCGCGAACGTTCCCTCGCGGCCGAAGCAGCTTCCTCCTCCCAAATAACAGCACGGACACCCTCCGGCTTCCTTGCAGGAGAAAATGTCTCCCTCTCCGCCCGAAAGCGTGCTCACGCCTCCGTCTCCACCTCCTCGATACCCTCCACAAGCCGCAATGCCGCCGAAGCACAAAAGGACGACGGTATCCAGCCCGCGCGGAAATTCAAGAAATACGTCGATCACGACTTCAGCAGGATGACGGATACCAAAGGCGGCTTCCTGTCTGCAGAGGACGATCCGTGGAATAAGGCACTACATGCATCGAAGGAAGGGGAGAAGCCCGCGCATATGACGCTCAAGGAGTGGGAACGGCATCAACTACTCAAGGGGTTGCGGGATCGAAAAGAAGGTCCATTCGAGCCTGGTTTGGGTTTCGGCCAGAGGGACAAGGGCAAGAAGTGCAGAGAGTGTGGTAGCCTAGAGATTGACTGGCAATGGGAAGAGGTATTCAAGTGTCCTGTTTGCAGCAGGTGCAAGGAGAAGTTTCCAGAGAGATACAGCCTGTTGACAAAGACGGAGGCGAAGGATGATTATCTCTTGACAGATCGTAAGTTCTCCTGGCTGTATTATCAGCGATTGGTGCTGATGACTGTATAGCGGAGTTGAAAGACGCGGAACTCCTTCCCCACCTCAATAAACCGAACCCGCACAAGAGCCACTGGCACGACATGATGCTATTTCTCCGTTACCAAGTCGAGGAATATGCGTTCAAGACTAAATGGGGATCGGCGGAGCAGCTGGATGCCGAGTTCGAGAGGAGGGAAGAGGATAAGAAGAAGCGGAAGGAAGACAAGTTTAAGAGTAAACTTGATGAGTTGAAGAAGAAGACCAGGACGGACGCATATAGGAGGAATCTGAAGGGAGGCAAGGCGGGGCAGTTTGGCGATCGTATTGGAGGGGGCCGGCATGAGCATGACTGGGGCCAGACGGTCGAGAACGAGGCTGGGATGACGGTGAAGACTTGCACGGAGTGTGGGATGGAGGTTGAGGAGTTGCAGTTTTGATGGGTGATACGGTAATGAGATATAGATAGTGATGTGGAGCGGGGGCGATTTTGCTCAAGCAAAGGAGTTTGGGTCGGACTTCGAGGGCATTCGGGTGATGGCTGCATATGCTTCGTAGTGGAGGAATATTACTCGTGCTCATCGCGAACTGGTCCCCAAAGTGATGGAGGGATTCGAGGGAAGTGATGTATATATAGTACGATCATCGTTGCTATTGAGCTCAAGCACAGAATTCCAGGATAATATTGATACTTGGTTGAAAGCTTCGGAGCATTCAGGGGCTGCTGTCGCTTCGAGCCTTCGTTGCCCTGGAACCTTTCTTAATTGAAACGAGGTAGTTGTCCAGAAACGACCCCAAAGATCGCTAGAAGTGGAGGGAGACGAAGGGACAAGTCCCAATTCCAAAGCTCAAACACTGCTGCAGTGATTTTCAGATATTTTCAGATATTTTCAGATATTTTCCCTCTCATCGTGATTCGTTCATTTCAGTCTGCTCGCGGATCCAGTTAAAAGCAGCGTGAGACTTTGCTAGAACGGCAGTGGATGCCTTGGCGCCACCGTTTCTGCCTGAGCCCTGGTCGCGTATAGATCTCGGCTCCGTACTGGAGCTCTTCAAGGTCCAGCATCTCATCATCTTCTGTCACCCAGCAAACATCGCACGCGACAGCTTGACTCCCACGCATCTTCCACTTCATGCTCAATTGCTGGAGCTGCAACTCTCCTCCATCCACCCTCCACGGTCACCACGCCAGCTGCAGAACAATAACCAACTGAGCGCGCGCTACGAATAGCCTCGTTGTTCTTGCTTCCCCTGGCTCCCCTGACCGCTTGCGCCAACCCCAACAAATGCCCAGGGTGACGAACAGCTTAGGTGCGACCTGCGTAGTGGTCTCCTCCAGACGGTTGCTTCGGTGCCGTGGGCTGTGAGGTCACGATGGCCTGGCAGTCCTTGTCTGGTAGCATGGGGGCGGGCTCCAACGGCGGCGGTAATGGGAATGGCGAGGGCCAGCAGCAGGTAAACCAGCCGCAAGGAACGGAGTATACGCTTCAAGGTTCGTACCACCTCCTATCGTGTTCGCTGGCCGGCCGAGTACTGATGACAAGCTCGTATAGGGGTGATGCGCTTCCTGCAGACCGAATGGCACCGGCACGAACGAGATCGGAATGGTTGGGAGATTGAAAGGCAAGAGATGAAGGGAAGGATAGCACGGCTGGAAGGCAGTACGAGGAAGAGCGATGCAAGCAACAAGAGCTTGAAGAAATATGTTAATATGTTGGAGAAGGCGTTGAAGGAGAGGGATGCACAAGTCAAGGCGCTGAAAACTGGTGGAGATGTGAAAATCGGCGAATCCATACCAGAAAGCAAGGGGAAAGAAAACTTGGAAGTTAAAAATGAGCGGCGTAAGTTGTGTTTGAGTGGAGAGGGGCATTGTACTGACATTGAAGAAGCTGTTCAAGACAAACCTCACAACTCGTTTCTCGACATCGAAGACGGAGAAAAGCAGGACGAAGATCCAGATAGAGGGAGCCTGAAAGGATTCATGGACAAGACACAAGGCGAACTCACCTACCTCATGGTATCACCGTCGAACCCACTCCCGCCACGGGACCCTCCACCACCCGAAGAAGCCCTTCTACAACCCCCATCATTCCAAGCACCTGGTCAGCCAAGCTTGGAGGAAATCTATCAGCAGCAGGCAAGAGAGAAGAATATGCGGCAATCGAACTTGTCTCGACCCTCTCCATCACCAAATCATCATCCACCTCCTGTTCCTTCGACGTCTAGCCTCTCTGTTAGAAATCCAGATCCTCTAGTATCCAGATCGCTGGCAGATCAGCAACCATTACCGCAAACGACACAGCAAGAATGGTCTTCGACTTTCCAAATGTCGGAACAGCAGCCCGAGGAACAAGTTACCAAGGTCAACCACAGCTTCGATTCATACGGTAGACAAGTCGACGAGGAGCAAGAGAAAGAACCCCAGACAGAGGCCGATGGCTGGGATTTCAATGAAACAGCCCAGTTCCCCGAGCAGGAGCCGAAAGCTGCACCACAACGACCGGACACGGATTTGTTTCCAATTGCTCAAGAACCACCCAAATCTCCGAACAGAGGACCAGGTTCGCATAGAAGGAAGGGGTCAATGTCACGGCGCCGAAGCGGTGAGCATGAGCTGTCTTTGAACCCGGCGCAAAAAGCAGACACTGGAAGTTTCAAGGTCAGATTTGGACTGAGGGGTCACCTGGATGCTGTTCGATCGGTTATCTTTACCGGCGGTGGAAGTCCTGGGGAACCAGAGATTTGCACAGCTGGCGATGATGGAACAATTAAGCGATGGATCATACCAGCTCGGTACGAGAACCAAGGAGGAATGCACATCAGCGCAAACGATCTTGATATCCAGAGTTATTTCACGCATCGCGGACATACTGGCACTGTCACGTCTTTGACTTCCTGGTCACCATCGCAGAATTTCTCGAGTGGTGGAAGAGCGCAGGGGGATGGCTGGATATTCTCTGGAGGCCAAGATGCAACCATCCGGGTCTGGGAACGAGGGCGAGTGGATCCGAAAGCAACGCTCGACGGCCATACGGATGCTGTGTGGACTGTCTGCGTTCTCCCTGGCACGACTGGAACTGTTTTCGGACAGAGCAATTCGTACGGTGGACCTGATCGTATTCTGCTTGCTTCCGGCGCTGCGGATGGGACCGTGAAGGTCTGGTCTGTCAGTGCGCCACCGCAATTGATGTCGCCTCAGGGTGGTGGAAGCGGACGAAGAGGTGGCCGCGTGAGAGGCAATTCCATGTCCTCGGGATCGGCCTTCCCTTCATCACCGCAACCTAGCATCGCTTCGAACTCCCCTTTCCACTACACGCTCATTCATTCTATTTCTCGGGCGAACAGCACGGCCTCGCCAACCTGTATAACGCCACTTTCTACTTCGGGCGACGTTTTTGTTGTCTCATACTCCGATGCAGCTGTTTTGGTATATGATACCCGGACCGGTGAGGAGGCTGCAGCAATGGCGAGTCTCGAGACTTACAACAACACCGTCAATACGGGCGTCAACGCGATCGTCGCTACTAAAAGCGGTCTCGATGGATCTTTGAGCTTCGATTCCGGCCGCGGTCTATCTGAGGATGAAGGAGTCGTCGGTGGAGCGACTGGAACAAGTGGCGGTGTGGAGGGAATCATCATTTCCGGACACGAGGATCGATTCATTCGTTTCTATGATGCTAACAGCGGTAAGTTCTCACGCTTTCTGTCTCCTCGCCTTGAAGAAACTAATTAATCCTCAGGTCAATGCACGTATAACATGCTGGCACATCCGGCAGCTATCTCGGCTCTCGATTTGTCGCCCGATGGCAGAGAACTGGTATCTGCAGGGCATGATGCAAGTCTGAGGTTTTGGTCACTGGAGAAGAGGAGCTGTATCCAAGAGATCACAAGTCATCGCCTGATGAGAGGCGAAGGGGTTTGCAGTGTATGCTGGAGCAGGGACGGAAGATGGGTCGTGAGCGCGGGTGGGGATGGTGTGGTGAAGGTCTTCGCCAGATAGGAGGTAATGGGTGTGATGAGACGGGATACGTGGACGACATAAGATGAGATGAGAATACCCTTTCACATTGTATTTTCGAAGCACGATTTGGCGTTGCATTGCCGCAGCATGGACGGGAAAGATCAAAGATCGAAATGGAAGATCAGATGAGACACAGGCATGTAGTTTAGACCATACCATCACCACCCGGATCGTTTCTGTTTGGGAATTGTACAAAATAACACAAGATACTTATTCTCGGAAGTCGTCCAGATACCTTCCATGTGGAGGGATTCCTCTCCGGGATTGCGTGGCAGCTCTCTTCTTTGAGAGGGGAAGGCTCAGGCCAAACACGTGATGTACCCCGCCTCTACCTCCACACACCCCGGAAGTTTAACCCGCCAAGTCGGCGAATACCTTCAAAACCGACTGCTGCCGACGAGAGTTCATCTTGCGAGACACGACACCGCCTGAAGATACAAATCGAGGGCAGACTCCTAAACTGGGTGCTTATTGTTCTCAATATGGAGTCTTTCCCTTCTCCTGCCACGAAGAAACGCCGAATACCAGTAAGATCCTGGATTTACCCCGCTTACAGCTGTTCCCACAGGCCCGACCTGACAAACTTACAGAAAGCGTGCTCTGCGTGTAGAAGATCTAAAGTGCGCTTATTCTTCCATGCCACTCTGGTAGAGTGACCAAGACGATGTTTATTTAGAGTATTATAGTTGAGATGTGACGGCGGCAAACCCTGCGCCCGCTGCACAACCGCAAACCTGTACTGCGACTTTATCAAACCTATCACGGACCCGGTTACCGAGTATCCTTGCCTCTTCCCCGATGAACGAAACTCCGTTACTAACCAAGGGGAAAAGGAAACTATCACAGCTAGAAGCACAGATGGAAGCGTTGAGGAACAGGGTCCCAGATACGACCACTGCCGCCACCCTCCTCGAACTTCAACATCAAGTCAATCAGCGGAGCCAAAGTGAAAACCGATCCTCACAAACATATTCGCATCAGTTCCAGCGGCAGCAGCTTAGAGAAAATGAGTATACGAGCCCGGTGTCTATGAGCGTCAGTACGCACAGTCATCCATCACAACCTCATCCGGAAACTGCCTTCTCTCAGCCGCATTTGTTTAGTCAAAGTCCGAGGACAGAGTATGACATCTCAGCTCTGAAAAAGAAACGAGGGGGTTTTGAGCTGAATGTGGAAGGGAGCGTTGATGTTGTGGCTAAGGGACTAATTAGTCTTGCTGATGCCCAGATGTATTTTGGAGCTTTCTTTCAGGGTTGTGTAAGTTCCCTCCCCTCCACTGCTCCCAAAGAAGTTGCGGTATGGGCCAATGCTGATCATCGAAAAGGACAAATACGTTCCTGTCTTTGACCCAAGATATGATACCTTTGAGAGTGTGAGAGAGCGGAGTTCGATGCTATTTGATGTTATTTGTGCGGTTGGTTGTAGGGCTGAGTGTGGTGAGTAGCCGGACTTCCTAGAGCACTTAAAGAAGTCGGTAAATTGATATTAACAATAGGCAGGCCCTGGATCAGATCAATTTCAGTCCCTGTCCAACGCCACAAAAGCTCCAATCTGCGACGTAATACTCGGCACAGTCCCCAAATCAACGGAGACAATCCAAGCATTGCTCGTCAATGCCGGGTATTCCGAGAAAGGATGGCTGTTGACGAGTATGGCGGCAAGAATGGCATTGGATCTGGATTTGCCGGGCTCATATACTAAGCTGAGCGCTTTAAGCTTTGATTCGGGGGGCAACGAGAGGGATAAGTTGGAAGAGGAAAGGTTAATGAGAGAAAGTAGGGTTTGGTTTGGAACATTCATTCTCGAGAACATATTGAGTATAGATTGTGGAAAGAAACCAGGGATAAAAGCATCCTCTGGGGCGGGAATGAGAAGGTGTCGGGTTTTGCTCGGGGTAGTCAGCCCATTTCTTTACAGTATCCTATATTCCGAGCTCCTTACCCCACTGGTCGGAAGGATGTTTCATGCTCCCGGCTCGCTCCCGGCTCTCCATTCCGTAAAGAAATGCGTTGCTAAGTTGTTGTTAGCATCCGAATCGGACGGCCTTGGACTTCAGGATGCTATCACAAGTGGAGGTGAGTACTTGTTCGCTTTGGGATAGTATTAATTTGCTCACAATCATTGCAAGTTAAATTCGATTCGAGGTAAGCTAGACCATTCACCTTTGATGTTCCGGAACAATTTAGCAACTTTTACGAGCTCTGAAATAGTAAACTAATCCTTGGTCCAGCGCTTGCTCATGAACGTCTTTCCCCAACCATGGGGACGACATTCAGCGACGATGAGATGAGCGAAATTGTGCAGGAGACAAGGATCGATTTGAGTGTATGGCTGAGGTACGGATTCCAAAATCAGACGATATTGAACGAGAAAGTTAACCTGGAAACAGCGATTGGATGAACCTGGTCGGTGAGTGGGAATGTTTTGCACAGATGGAAGAGCTGCTAAAGATATAGACTCAAATGTCGAGAACGAGGAAGATAGAGCAAGTCTGCGGATCAACCTCCAGATCCAACGACATTGGGCTGAGATGACGATGTTGTGTAAGGGTTTGCAAGGAATGGGCATTGAAAATGTGGCGTTAGTGGCATCATTTGAAGTTTGTCAGAGCAAGCACTGACTTGTGGCAGCATAATGACAGACCCACAACGTAACCTCATCCACCTGGCGAAAGCAAGCGCCCATAGACATCTCTCTATTCTCATCTCGAACCCTGCGTTGTATCTTGCCACGCTTCGATATGGGATGGACTTCGTTTGGGGTGAGCGATCTTCCATTTCATCACATCTTTCTGGCCAACCTGCTCTGTGCTAATTTTCCCAACAGCTAAATGCGCCTTCTCGGTCCTCCTCCTTCTAAAACTTGCCCGCCTTATTCCGTCATCAACCAACATGTCCTCCCTGATCGCCGACGCGAAGACCCTCCTCGCTGAACTCTCCAAAGTCCGCGGGTCCAGCAATATCTATTTTCGCATACTTTGCCTCAGCGTAGAGAAGTGCGAAAAAGCTTTGAATGGCGATTTAGACCAGAATATCGATGCGAGTATGAATGGGGTCGATGCGGAGATGGACTTCCAGAGTTATGTGCCGAAGGAATTCATTCTCGAGTGGAACTTTCCGGGGTTGACGTTCTGTTGGGATTTTCAAGACTTGTTTATGGACTTTGGGACAGGGTTTTGAGGTCGATGATGTGTCCGTTAAAAGGAGCCGTCCATAATCTGTGTAGCTATCACATAGCAATTCTATCACGATACCACCACCTCCTCTACCTGTCTGAATTCGCCATATAAAACCTCACAAACTCCACCCAATGGCACATCCATCACAGCGTCCGTCCCATGACTCCAAAGCGCCTTCCAATCCTTCAGTGTCTTTTCTCTCTCCGGCCGTTCTCGTCTATCTTTCTCCCTCCCTTTGTTTATGCCGTGACTATGTTGAAGCTTTCCCTTTCCATCTATCGTAGCCACGTTCGCCGCATCATCAATAATTGTCTCGATATTGTTTAACTGAAGTGTCAAATAGCCCGTGTTGTAGCTCGCCAATGCAACGTAGATGTATACCAACAGCATGACCAGGAAACTCGGAACCGCCAAGCTCCACCATCGATTTGGATAGTAGTATATTCCTAGGGCGTGTAGAAACGGTGAGGGGAGGTACGACCAGAGAAGGTACATCAAGAATGTGAGCGATGAGAAAAGGTACAGCACGAAGCCATAGTATTCGTAGGTCGGAACCTTCGGCGACGCACGAGGGACAGGTTCGAGCTCATCGGCAGAGCTGTCTGGGGTTGTAGGCCGAGAGGGTCGAAGGAGAGAGGTCAGGGATGGGGAGGGAGGGAGTGGAGTTGGCGGTCGGCCGTAGAAGGGTGGTGCGAAGAAGTTGTGCTGCAGCGGAGGAGGAGAGGGTGAAGAGCTAGAGGAAGAGTCCCCGCGGTAGTGTGATTGGAAGACTGCGTCGTCGTCGTCCGAGGAGGAGGGCATTGTGAGGCTAGCGCGTCGTTGGAGTTGGATGAAGTCGAAGTTCGCGAATTGGAATCCGCAGTTTTGGCGAGGATCTGCGCACGTGACCATGCTATTCACGACATGGAAGGACTGTGGTCGCCTAACAACTTCTCCTTTACTGGCCTTGAGAAGCAAAACGACTTTTATATACAGTCCCTTCGCACGCTTCGATGTAAAGGATCTGTACAGTGCAATGCAGCTACGTATAATGGTAATATTACCTAAACTCAGCCTTGTCCTCCATTTGCAGACGATCCACAAGCTCATATCCACCAGATAATTCCCGCTCCATACGTGAGAACTATCCCGGCTTCTTAAAGACCCTCTACCTAAGATTAGTTATTACAGGAACGCAACATCGCACTTCCAGCCCTCTAGCCGAGCCATCTCAAAGCAACAATCTAGAAACCAGCGAAATTGGCCTCTGCTTTGTCTTTGAAATCATCAGTCTCGTCTTCATTGGACCCTTGAAGTCATGCATTGAAGCCAGGGACTCTTGGCCCTGATTTCAGGTACGGCTGGTGATGCTGGCCTCACTTTCCCACAATTGGCATCAAGGAAGTGACAGAGATATCACCAAGAACCTCAAATTTGGGTGGTCAACCAGGGGCTTTGCCATCCGTTTCACGGCCCCAGAATTGGGAAACCAGCGGCCTGTGATTTCGGAAGACTTCAAGCTCTTGAACTTGCTTATCTTATTCCCTAGTTCTCTATTTGCCGCAAATCTCAAAATCCCTCGTTTCTTCGGAATATGAATATGTAAGCCGGTCATTTTGTTCAGCTTTGATAATCGAGCAATTATCGAGAGACGAATTGTCACGTAGGAATTCCATCCAATTATCCACCAGCGTGTACCCGAAGCACTTGATAGCTCTTTACTTAGGCGTCTCTACATCGGGAAGCGTACTTATAACTATGCCGATCAGATATGAGAGAAAATGCATTTGACCCGGGGTGGATTCAACCATAGAAGAGTAGGCAACTAGGTGGGCGCACACCTCAAAATATGTGGATGTGAACCACAGATTATATTAACTTTATAACCTTACTAGCCTACTTACTCATTTACCCATTAAACAAAACCAGCAACGTCGCTCGTTAAACCCACTAAATTACATTCCCCAGGCACACTACCAAGAACCGTCCACCTCAAATCATGATTATTCCTCAACGTATCTAGATTCCTTGGGTCCTTCACCAAAAATATCTTTGCGCCAGAATCCGCAAATCCGCACCACGCGAGGAAATACGTATTTCCCAGCGTATCCGTCGCAACATAGATAGGCTTCGTGCCACCGTTGTACTTGATTGGTACGAGCGTGATCGCATTCGAGGTCTGTGGGAGACTGAACTCGATGGCTCCGAGTCTGATTCGAGAAACTCCAAAGGTGGTCATGGTATCAGGGAAGTAGTGTAAGACGCGGTGGCCTGAATCGCCCACGACGATGTCTTTGGAGAAGCCGAACTTAGTGAGTCTAGGATCGTAGTTCTGGCCGGCGTTTCCGAGCCAGAGGTTTCCATCCTGCCCGGCGAGGAGCACGTACTTGGATGTTGTGTCTTGCAGAGTGGTGTAATTGTACTGAGGGTCGGGTGAGGTGTCAAGGCAGTATTGTGGGTCGAATTCGCCTCTGGTGGTAAGCTGTTGTCTGGTTGTGATGTACTCATTGTCGATTCTACGTTTCGTAACACCCTGGATACAGCCGGAATCAATGGGGATGCTCAAAGGGAGAATGGTATCCTCGCCTCCAGGCCAGACCACGTTAACATCGTTGTTGAGGGTGACAGCCCAGTCAATACCTTTACAAGTTGGCTGGTCGACCTTGGCCTCAAACTTGACATTGGGTCTATCTTCCAGACCAGCGCTGAGGTCGAAAAGGCCATTGAGCACGTTTATTCCAAACACCAGTGAAATTGGGATTCCCAGACTAGCGCTTGCTGAAAGTTGGCCTTTAGCAGGATCGAGTTCGAACTTCTTGTCCACCTTAGGGTTGTTGAATCCAGAAGCGCGCGTGTTCAACGGATTCATGAGATCGATGTACAAGTCTAAGTTTTGCCAGTTAATGTTGAGGCCAGCAAGGACTTGTCCGGCGGCGTTGACATGAGCGTCTGCATCGATTCCGACCTTAAGCATAGGCCCAAGGACGAGGACATCGGGGATCGCGAACACACTGAGTGGGATTGTGGGTCCGAGTTGCTCCTGGAATATCTTGCCATCATGGGTTCCGTGAGCACTCAAACCGATATTGAGGCCAGCTGAGAGAGATCCAGTGAACTCGAGAGACCCGCCAAGGACACCCAGTATTGGTGAGACGCGCAGAGACCCAATGGCGTCAAGGTCACCATGGACTCCACACTGGACACAGTAGGCTTCTAGGTTGGAATCTGAACTGCCTGCTTTTGGGTACATCTTGAAAGCATTGCCAAAAGGGGACGATTCCTCGGGGCTTGGTCCAACGTCGAAGGGCAATGAGACCGTACCGTCCAGATTTAGAGCAAGGTTATCAACGATCCATCCGACGGCATGTTCGACCCAACCGGCAACGTCTTTTGCAGCACCGGCTAGCCAATCTGCGACAGCCGTGAGCCCATCGCCAAGCGCCGACACAACAATTGAGCCAACATCTACAATCTGCGTAGTGTTAGGTTTTGACAGCATGTCGGTTTCAACCAATCACTTACAAGCTTTACTGGGGCAATGACCGCATTCACCGCAGTGTCCGCAAGGTCTCCAACAGCGTCTGCGCCGTCCTCGACCCAATGTATAGGATTCAGGTCGAAGCGCTTAGTTACGACGACAGGCACGCACTCTGGCCACTTCCCGTAACCCGAGGCAAACTTCACTGTATCCGGGCTGTCCCGTAAGGGACTGTTCGCAGGTCGAGAGAATGCGAAGTTGCTGATCTTACGATCTAAATCTCCATCGAATGTCAGGCCACAAGGAACCGTTGGGAGACCGCTGATCGTCGCTGCAGGTGGGCCACCACAAGGAATGACTGGATGGTATCCGCCACAACCATTTTCGCCACCTCCTCCTCCATGTCCTCCTCCGCATCGATGTTTTCCTCCCCCGCAGTCACATTTTCCACAACCGGACTGACAAGATTTGGGAATCCCCCAGGTGCATTGAAACTCATCAATGCTCGATTTTATGTCAGACTTGTGGCCGTGTACTTGGCAAGCGAGGTGCGCGTGGTCGAAATTGAGCCCCGAGCATCGAAACCAGCCTCTATGTCCACCAGAATCTGGGGACATCAAGAAGAGTAGGTCCTTTTGGCCGATCCATTGTGCTTGAGCCTCGTTGAAAGCAGTTTCCTGTTCGAAGAAGATGGTCAACAAGTTATCTCTACCCTGGACATCTCGGTAGTGACTTGAGTCATTGAGATTCACAGTTGGATACTTGTATTTATGCGTTAATTCGATGAATAGAGACTTTTTAGACGGGTCTGTATACTTTTAGCATGTCTCAACGTGAATAAAGATGACGGCACATACCTTCGTGATGTGGATGCGAGTAATAGAATGTCCCGTTACTTCCTGGCTTGAGATGCTTGAAGTCCACAAAGTCATGGTCTCGTTGGTGACGAGGCTTCAGAACTGGTATTGAGTCCGCTGGTGGGAATTGGCTTAAATGATTTGGAGGCCCTGATCGCTTTATGCGAACAAAAGGTCGGCCCGTGTCTTCACGAGGCAGAGCCAATGTGTACGACGTAAGAAGAGAGACAAGGAAAAGGGATATCATGGTTGTCGTGAATGCTGATAGAAGTGAAGTCAATTGCAGATACATTCTTAATAATGCATGAAGGGAAACTGAAAACAATGTTGAGAGCAGACATTGCTCTTTTCATCTTGTTAGAAAAGATTTCTTTCCCCGTAGCATCGTGACAAACGTTACTATTTTCGTGGTGTGGCTTGCGACTTGTTGCGTGTGGCTTGGATATTTGCAATAATTCATCAAAAAGATCCCTTGTGGCTGGATCCTCCTGTCTTGGCAAGGTGCGCGTGGCACCACCAAGGATCTTGGCAATAATTTGGAGGTCTCTATATCACACTCTCATACTTCGGTAACACCACCTATCACCACATGTGATGCCAGGAATACTCTTTTGATACAGTCTCGAATGCTTGCTGTCTAACGTACTGTATTCCGAGGAGAATGTGTCGAGGAATTGGTGAGAAAAAACTGTCCATGAGGGAGATTGATGAGAGGATTCGTTAGGAGGATTCGTGAGAAGGATTTGGGAGAAGGATTCTTGAGGAGGATTTGAGACACGTTTTACCAAGAACTTTTAGTCTTTCAGCTCAACATATGTATATCAAGAAATACGATGAAGGAGTCAGAAGGTCCACAGTGAACATGCATGTGACTCCATGGCAAACCCTGAATATTCGAGGTCAAATAAAAGCTCGCTCTTCCTTCTACTTTATCTATAAGGGCAAATAAAACGCGTACCCTACGGGCCACTAGGGACAAATGTGGCATTTTCGGCCGGAGGATCCACTCCACACCCAAGACGTAGATACCGATGAGGTTCCTTGTGACTTGGGTATTAATAAAGTCTCAGAGCTCAGTAGAAAGTTGCACTCTGCTCGCTCGTATAATAAAAGGAAAATTTGATATTTTATTCTTCGCGGAAGGTTGGGACATCAAGTGATGCGATTTGTACAATGACAACGGATCTAACAGTAACACTTGCACATGTCAGACGAATTATGTATAATAGGGGTACTCTTCGTTTGCATATTACATAGATCTCTAAGAAAATTTCGTCAGTAGATTAGAAACCATGTATACCCTAACAACCTAACCATTATGCCATCACGCTTTCAGGCCTCATTAGCTTAATGCTCTCTGCGCTGTAATTGAATTGAGTCTGTGACAGGGAGGATGATTTGTATTTCGGGTTACTATTCGTTTAGTCCAAATGGCATCCACAATTTATTTACATATAAGCTCGTCTTCCAACGAGATTACTCCTATAGAAGCCATACAAGACGTTTTATATTACTGTCTTGCGGGACTCTGGGGTCATTCCATATATGCCATTGATTCTCGCCGGACTTCCAAGTTTTAATAAAAGAAAGAACCAACTTTGAAACTTTACTATAGCAACGCGTTATTAAGGACTGTCTGGAAGATCTTGTCTTTTATCTTCTAAGTCTGACAACGAAGTAAATTTAACGATACAAGATTCATAGTAGATAATCGAGTAAATAAAAATATTATATTAGCCGATTCCCATTCAAATATATACATGGCTCTAAGTTATTCGACGGAATGCACTCGTCACCTGATTTATAATACACGGAGAACACGTGCTCTGGAACACCCACATCGCTAGAGCTATAATGGGCATATGAACGAGGCCTTGCACTTTCTTCTCTCTCTTTCCATGCTTCGCTCTGCCTGTATCTTAGTTATTTAGGCCTTGTCAACTATTAATATTATCGTCTTTGCAGCTCCATATTGCTCCCATCACTAATAAGTCACGTGAGGAAGAAGAAAACCGGTACTACAAAATTTCCTTGGCGGCTCTAAGAATCATCTGTAAATCCAGCTCGTTGAGCAACAAATCCAGAAATTTACTTTGAACGAATAATGGGCTTAGACACACTGAGGTTGTAGGAAGGTAATTCCATTCTAAACGACGTTCTCTTATAAAGATAAGAGGTATATTGAGAGTCTGGAGCAGTGGTGGAAGAAGAATTTTGTTAGTGAGGGAATGTGCTTGCTTGGGATAGTGTTATGTCTATACTTGAATTTGATAGAGAAGTGCAAATGTATTTTGATGAAGCCTGAACTGCCCGTGGACGGAAATTCTGGGCATTTTGAATATACCACTTACGACCGAAATATGTTGGAACTTGATGTTCGACAGAAGGATTTAGGTTGTATAAGTCTTGCTTGGCATGTGCCCTACAAATACCTTTGCTCCACTAAAACAAAGGTCCAGCGGTATTTCAACTATGTTCGAGGCGATATATCGCTTGCTGTGCCTTCTGCGAGTGTGTTGATTGAAGCCTTTGAGAAGATATATGAGAGTTTGGAAACAAAGTATTCATTTGACACCTTTTGAACCTGTTCTACAACTCTGGGGAGCATAACCAACTGAAAACTCCTGTCTTTCGATCTCAACACTTCCACAATGGGTGTTCGCACGCAGATGTGATATAGTTCCCCTTAACTAGAACGCCAATATAGCGTACTCCGCTTCGATTCGGACATGGAAAGTAACGTGAGCTCTGTGGAATTTCTGTCATTCATAAAACCATAATACCAAGTAAATCAAGCAAAGGCTCTAAACTCCACTTATAATCACCGCCCATGGGGCCAGTATCATATGCCGCTATGTTCCAAAACAAGTGAGAGTCCAGCAACCATGAGCAGTCGAACACCCCATTGTACCCTTCTTTGCTCAACCAGCGACCAAGTTCTTCCCATTACAAGTTAGTCTCCTCGAACCTTTATCGGGATAGCAGAAGTTGATCCGGCAACTGTGAGGCTCTTGTCTTCGATACCCTCCTTCACTAGCCTGAGACTACGACTGGCGAATCTGCGCCGGTCTTACGAGGCTATATACCAATTTCACCCCTAGCCTCAATGTCTCTGTACATCTGTGGTTGTTCTGGTCGATTGACTTGTTTGCTCTTAGCGTAGTTAAAAGATACACCTCCTGATATTGTGATATTGCTTGGCTTCCCAAGATCAGGTACAGAGATGGCGTAAGCCAAACTTTGAAATCATTAGCATTGAAGAAATGTTAGTAGAAAGCGGGAACACTTACATTCCGACAAAGGCGAGGATACATCCTGCTGCGACTTCGGGAGTTCGCTCCTCGTTATACCATCTGTACCTACTAGGGGCTCGAGTTCCAAGTATTGTAGTGATAAATAGTATGATAAGTAACACCATATCAAGGAGAAGATGTAATCGGCCATGCTTCAGCCATCCTAGCCAGCTTTTGCTGGACTTCCGGGTTCTCGGAGAACGGTTGCGAAATTCGAGATGCAATCGTACGTGTTTGGAAAAGATGTGATGGAGAACGACGAGGAAATTTCGGATAAGAGCGAAGCAAATGAAGACGATGGCTGGAATGCTGGCTTGTCGACTTCCTATAATCAAGAGCACGAAGCTGGGAATGAAGACACAGACGGAGATGAGGCGGAAGAAGAATGTCGGATGGCAGGCGAATCTATGTTCTGTCTTAGGAGGCTTGTCTTCACTATCATTCGCGTTGGGATCGATGAGCAGCACATTAGGATCTTCATTTCCAGTGGGTGAGTCCATCGAAGGACAGTCTTCAGGCACACGGTGATAACGAGTGTTTGCGGCCATGATGAGATCGTAATCTGGTGGAGCTGGACGAGGAAAAAATATTGGGAAGCAGTCAATCGATAAAAGTTTTGGTTCTGCTGTGTACAAATCCCCTTCTGGATCAAAGGGCATGATCACATTATATGTGGGCTTCAGAGAGAAGGGTTGACAATTAGGCACCAATTCAAAGAAAAGAATAAGTGAACGGACGCGTGGTAGCACACGAGATATTGGTCTTTGGGAGGTGAGAACGAATAACGCCAGGTTTTATTCTGTTGCCTGAAAGCTCCTGCGACCTGTGCCGCAAGCTAAGCCTGATCGCCAGGGATACGAGGTTTAAGGAGGTGGCTGACTCGGCTATGGAAAGGGGCTGTGTCACGTGAGCGGCCCATTCACGCTCTTTTTCTGGCGGCGCGTGCTGCCATGGGAGCCAATAACAGAGAACAAAATTGGATGCCTAAAGTAGGAATGTGTTTATTAATGACGAAGAGTCAATCTAGGCAAGTTGATATCTGTCGCGTGCTATACTAAGATGAATCGTAACTGTTTTTCTGAGCTCTATGCAACTAAATCTATGTACTAATGCGATGGATCCGTGATTCGTTACCACACGCAGATTATATCACTTAAAACACTATACAACGAATAGATTTTCTCGGATCCTGGCGAAGAACACATTGGGAGTTCATCTCCCAATGTCCAAATATACCTTGGTGTCTTCCTATACCCCACCCAGTATAGCGAGAAGAACAATCTCTAAAAGAATAAATTCTCTCGTGATATAGCATCCCTACTTCTCGTTTTAGAAGAAATCTGTGTAGAATCTTTCATTCATAAAAGTGGCAACAGGTCGAACTACCCCGATTTATAGCTTTAATAACTTTGAAATATAGAATCCAATCCCGCTCATTTTAAAAGACAGCTTCTACGTCTGCAGTCTGCGAATTTGACGGGCGACCTAACAGCGAGCCCAATACTAGGGAGAGCGTGTAATAATGAGAAGTGACAAGCCTATTCCTAACCGTTTTCAATGCGAGTAGATCCTAAGTTTCACTAAATGAAAACCTGGTAGATATTTCATATGTCTAAGAAGTATTCAATAGAGATAAAGGATAGATTCGGGTGCAGGTATTTAAATGTCAAAAGAAGGAGAAAGCCTGGGTCTCAGTAATCAGTAACTTATCCCAATCATGATCTGAAGGCTGACCACAGCTAACCATTAAATAACCGATTGCCAGTGCTGTCCCCGACCTTACATCACGCCAATGATCTGTCCAACCACACTCTTAAAGATACCATTCGGGTCAAACTTCTCTCGAACAGCGGCGAATCTTTGGAGGTGCTGTAATGTAAGGTGTGAGATTAAGTGCTTATCGAAGTTCAAGATCACTTACCCCTGGATCGAGATTCTTGACCGATTGCGCCAACACATCTCGAGAATTCTTTGTCCAATGTGGCCTGCAAGGAAACTCGTTTATTAAAGTCGAACTCAGATTGTGGTCTGTGAGTCTCAGTATACAAACGAAAAATGCCACGGTGAACGCAGAAAACTTACAAAATGGTTCATTGAACCTCAGATTGTCTCCCCATGTAGGTCTGTAGCTCGGGAAGTCGAACATTATGGCGCCTTTGGTCCAGTCGGTCCCATCTGTTGTGTTTGCCCACACTTGACCCAGCAAATCGTTATACGCTCTCCCGAACTTGATGTTGATTCCACTCCGATAAGTACTCGTCATGGTAATTCCCTTTGCTAATTGAGCATCAAACAACCCTCTTACTCTTTGCAAGACCTGATTCGCGATGGTAACAGGGAAGGCCAACTCTAGCGTATATGCTCTAAGATTATAGTCCCATTCAGGCAGGAGTCCCGGATACAAACCTCCAATTAGCACGTCATAATCCCAACCGTAGACCGGCCACGTGGTGATCGTGGTGTCGTTCGACTTTTCGTGGAAGTTGGGTGCCGACCATATGCCCTCAAAGATAGTCTCCGAGAGCATGTTTGATGTTGGGAGGATTTTGCCGCTGTCAAGCAACGTGCGTGCTGCTACTGCCTCGATTTCTGTGATCGAGAAAGTTGATTGGAAGCCTTGCTGGTCAGTACTTGCCGTAGGAATAACGTCATAGTATCGATGATGGAACTTGCGGAGGTAGGGCCACCACTATATTACGGCCGTTAGTATCTGAGAAGGCTCGAGACATATTGGGAATACCCAGAAATTAGCCGTAGCGTACGGGGCTATAAGTCCATATATATCACCATTCAGCACGTCGGCTTCGGCCAGACTAGATAGAAATTGTCAGCGGAGTTCTCGAAATTCTATTGATAATGGCACCTACGTCTCTTGTTTGGCATATAACTTAAAAGAAGGAAATATTTTGAACTTCATTCTCGCAATTGGACCAAGCAGCCCCAGTGAAGTTGATGCTGCAAGCCAGTCGTCGTTGGTCTCGTCCCGGACTACTTTCTGAATAGTGCCTGTTCCATCTATGATGTGAATCTCCAGGGCGCCAGAAGCTACCATCGAAGCTTCTCGTAAAGATGATCTATGGGCACCCATGGCAACAGCTCCAGCAATAGTCATGTTCCAGTTTACCAGAGCGTATCCGATAGAAGCGTTGCGTGCATGCAGATAGTCTGCTAGTTCGAAGAATGTCACGCCAGCCTCAATCATGACGGAACCTTCGGAACCTGTCAACTCAAAGTCGCTGATTGAGTGGACGCCCTCGGTTTGGATAATAATTGTTTCGCTGTCTGAACACATGGTATCGTACCACATATGACCCTTGCCACTTGCTCGAACGGGGATGTTGGAAGCAGCTGCCATCTTGACGAGAGAGACCATTTCGACAACGCTCGTAGGTTGGTAGACTGCAGAGACATTATAACAAGCTGGGAATCCGGGGCCGTCGAACGTATTGAAAGGGACAGCGAAGGCCGAGGAAAGGAAACCGAGTACCACTGCTTTCATAAGAAGAGTACTCATTTCGCGGCTGAGAGTAGCTTTTCAGGGTGCGAAATGAAAACGAGACTGGCGGAGACATGAACAAATGCACTCCTTGCATCTTCCATATATACAACGACATTGCTCAAACACCACGAAGTCGCTTGAAATTGCGTTCCTATGTGATGGAACTGCCATTCTTCATGTGATGCCGAAACAAAGGCCGTTCGAAAGTCTTAAATGACATATCTTACATCGGCGATTCGCCGTTGTCGGCCTTCGATCCTATTCAAGGCTTGCCAAGACCTGACTGAGAATACTGTTCCCGGACACCGCAGAATCACAGGGTCACAATGCCCTGCATTTCAATGCCACCTTGCAACTGAACATGTTCCTAGCGTGATGCGGGGTACTTGGCAGGCACCAAATATCGACCAGACAGATGCGACGTGGTAGAAATTGTGTACCTTGTGACATTTTCAGAACTGGCTCGGTGAAGAACGGACGAATGCACACGGGGCAAAAACGAGTAAGGCCGCGAGACTCGAGAGAGGGTTCAGACAATAGTATGCAACGTATAGTCTCAAGTTGTGGGGCGCTATTGAAGAACCAATTGTTGGGGGTGCTCATGGTGGAGGGCGGGGCGATTCAGGGAGTTCCCCGAAAGAAGGTGGCACCTGACAGCTGATACAGTACACGTGATTTGGATCGCGGAAAAACCTTTCAATGTTCCGCTTCCGATTTTATTATAGTCTCGTGAGAGGTAACTTGCAATCCCCCTTTCAGATAAGTGAGCAATATTTAATAGGGCTACGGTGTTGAAGGAATACTCAAAATGCTTAGTCGCTGAAGTAATTATTTATTAAACCATCGGTTCTCATGAGAACCCATCCTTATAGCTAAGAAATAGAGTCATGGTAGATGCGTCGTGTTGAAGAGACGGTTACCGGTGTCTGTAGTGCCTCTGCCGGTGAACTTGTTGTCAGAGAGGCGAAGTGTAATAAGGCTGAAATTTGCGTGACAGGCGAGCGCCTGGGCTAGGCTGCCCTCAGAAACTGACTGGGCTTGGACAACGCCGGCAACGACCACAATGTGAATAGTGGCGTGCAGACTGTGGATGTGTTGCACAAAGTTCACTACTGTCTTGCCGCTGTTCACCACCGAATCGACTAACACAACGGTGCGTTGTTGCAACAGATGGTGGGGCTCGATGTCCTCGGGACGTTTGGCGTGGACGAACATCGCGCTCGGGAAGGCTTCATTAACGCCGAAAGCCATGGCTTCTCCGCCACGCATTAGCGCCACAATTGATGTCTTCTTCTCGCGGCAAAGTCGATATCCACTGGTCTGATAGCCCTGTACGTGCGGAATTGGATACTCCTCCACCCCAATCATTTCTGCCAAGAATTCCGTCGCCAGATACCATCCGACACGGCGATGGGCTTCCCGCAGGACCGGGCCGGCAACCGTTGCATCGCGCATCGGCGTCATGAGTAGCTTGGCGGCATTTCTGTCTGTTGCATGGAGTACTTGGAGAGGATGCTGACTGCTACGGCGGATAATATAATCGATGAACTCGGGGTCCGTGAGCTGGATTAGGGGAAGCTTGGTGGTGTCTAGACGTGGTGACACATTGCTGGGCAGCAAAACTTGTTGTGCTGAAAGACCGCCATTGTCGATGGCGTTTAATAATGCTGCGTCCATGGTCTTACTCCTGGTCTGCTCCTCGCCGACCACAACAATAGCTTGATCTGCCTTCCTTAACATTTGCAGGTCCAGCACACTATCTCCAAACGCCCAAACGTACATGTGGTGGATGTCTCTTAAACGGGCAACCATGGCGGCTTTCACTGCAGCAGTAACAACGAACCCGTCTGCGATACGTCCTCCGCCGATGACTTTCACCGTCTTGGACAGACCTTCTCTCTCCAGGACTTTGTCCCAAACACCGCGCAGCCCACAGGTAACAACTATTGCGCCAACATGTTCTTGTCCTGCTACCAGCTGCAATAGCGACACAAACTCGGGATACATAGCCACCGCTGACGCTACGTTTTCGCAAAAGGCATTAAACTCCTGATCGTTGGCCACCTCTTCATAGAGCAAAGCGGCCTGGCGAAAGGCAGTGTACGAATAACCCAACGGGCTGCTGAATAACGTCTTCAACCAACGTTCTTCGTCCCCCGACTGCCGAGAGTTAGAGACCATCTTCCAGAACAACGCACCACTGTCCTTTACAGCTAAGGTCCTGTCGGCGTCCATGACCAACACTGTCTCCAGCTGTCCTTGGCCTGCTAAAAGGACCTCTTCCATCCTGCTTTCGGCGCGAGACAGGTTATACTCCTCGGTATGATGTCGGAAATCGCGTAGCAGCGTCGAGACTTTGTTCAGCAACGTCGGATGCGGGGATACGAGCGAGAACAAAATGCCATGATGGTAGCAGAGATGGCGCAGCTGGGTCTTTTCGGCCTGCTGCCACCTGCGTAGATGGTTGATGGACGCAGACGCACGACTCCTCTCTGTGTCGTTCAAACAACGCTGCGCGACAAGTTCGGCAGGAACATCCAAGTAGAGGATGTGCGTGAATGTGTCCAAGTCGTTCCTAGTATACACTGGCTGTCCAGCTTCCGTCTCCTCGGGCCAGAACATGAAGTGTCCAGCCACGACTGCGACTCGCCCGCTGTCGGCGCATTCCTTTCCGATCGTGTCGATAGCAAGCTGGCGCCAATGCACCTTCTCTTGCTCTTCCAGTTTCTGGAATGCGTCGAGTCCGCCGGGGACAAGATTAGCAATCATCTTCGCGCCATCGTAGAACTCGAAATGCTCTTGCCCGAATTCTTGCTTCAGCTGGTTCAGTAGAAAGGTCTTACCGGATCCGGGAACTCCGTATAAGCCCACAACTACTGCTTTATCGTTGAAAGCAGACCGACAGTCAGGGGCTATCGATTGGTTCCGCTGGGGACCCACCGTTAGGCCCGGCGTGCTGCTTGATGTGTTCTCGTAGTTGCTAGCCATCACGACAATTTCCGGAGTCTTCGAGAATAGTGGATCTGAGAGTATTAAGACTCAATTTGGTAATTGATGAGATATTTCACTACCAGAATCCAGATGCAACAGGCGCAAGGTGAGATGGAACATCGCAGCAACTGGCCCTATTAACTAATCTCTAGTTAGCCTTACTTCAAGGGGCTCTCTTCATGCAATTAAATGACTCACATAGTTGCCTGAAGACGAGTCTGGCCACGGATCCATATTGACATGTGAGGGTTGCGAACCGCACTGTGCGCTTTGGGGATATGCCGGCATTGTTCGATTAGGTCACCAATTCGGACAGGTAGAATGACAGGAGTAACATCTTCTCTCCTGTACTCCCACACTCACGCATCTCAACAAATGTAAGGCTGCCGACAAGGCGAGCTTGCACCGCGGACCAGTCGCGGAAGACTCCCAAAACCCATCTCATGCAGGAGGCCTCCTGCTTCCATCAAATGGAGACAGCCCAATGTTTTCGAGGAAGCTGGAATGTGTGAGGCCTCTGCAAAACCTCCCATCTAATGCAGGAGGCCTCCAGCTTCCATCCAACAGAGGCAGCCCTAATGCGTTCGGGGAAGAAGGACTGTGAGAGGCCTCCCAGGTAGATTATGCTGTGCAACGGGAACAATCCTCTATTCCCCGCTTGCAGCGGTCCTAAGTAATGATTCCCTGCGAGGATTAATTGAGCAGAACCTAGATAAATTCTGGGATACTTATAATACCAGAGCACTATGCAGTGCCGGAGCGTTTTGCGTTGATTCCCATACTGTATTTAGAATTATTAATTGTGTTGTCGCGTTTAGTGGCTAATAAACTGAGGTTACGGGATAGCCGGTATGTCAAAAAATAATTAAGGCTAATTAATTGGAATTAATTATAATTATTATATAATAATATAAAAGTATACTTTCTTAGGCATTTCTAAAGATTATTAAATAACTAATAGCTATAGTAATAAAATATAAATAAAATCTATAAAGCATATATAAGAGTATAAAATTAGTCTAAATCTAAAATAATAAACTAGTTTTTGTTATGTGATACCAGTCACGTGGTGCTATTACACGTGACTTAGTATATGGCCGGTATTTCCTTAGCCTGGCAAATAGCCTTTAGCTTAATTCAAGCTTTTTACTAATACTATAATACTAGAAATCAAAGAGGTTTTAGTACTTTAAGCTTTATTTACTAATTAGTACTAGGCCTAATTTAATAAAGAGTACTTTTAATAATATTAAATATAGCTAGCCCAGACTTTATTTTAGCCTTATTTCGGCTTCTAAAGCTCTAGAATCATATATATAATCACGTAATAAATCTAATTAATTATTTTTAATTATTTTTAATTATAATTAAATATTATTTAATTAATTTAATTTTAATATAATTTAATTTAAGTAAAGAAATCTAATTAAATCAAATCTAATTATTTAATATACTAGAAATAGTAATATAAATCAAATAAATAATATTAAAGTAATAATTATTTTATAGTAATAAATGGCTCGTATATATAAATTTTAAATACTTTAAGTTATATATATTAAATACTGAATTTATTAAACCTTTATTTATATTAATTAAATCGATTTAATTCTATAAAATATATTATATTATATTAGCTAAATTATTTAATTTTAAAATAATCGGATTTAATATTATAATTAAAGGAGCCTTACTTTTTAACTAAAAAAAATAAACTAATTTATAAAACTTATATTAAATATAAAGTTTTTTAATTTATATATAATATTTATAATAAAAATTAATTAATTTATATATTATTAGCTTTTTAAGATTTTTCGAATATATAATTTTCTTTTAATAAATTTATTATTTAATAATTATTAAATAATATTACTTTTTAAAAGAATAAAAAATATATATATATTAGATATATTACTTTTTAAAGCTATAATTAGTATAATAAATAAATAAAATAAAATAGAATAATAGCTATTATTATTATATATTAGTATTATATAACCTATATTTACTTAATTTACTAAATATATTCGAGTTTTAGTTTTTTATTATTACTATTATATTATATATATTTATATTTATTATAATAATTACTTTTATTTTATTTAAGCTAAAAACCTAATATTTTTATTTTATTTATATATTATTTAAATTATTTATAACTAATTTAAATAATATATATAATTTATATTATAATAGAAATATAAAATATAAAGTAATATATAAAAAAGAATAAACTTTTATAATATAGAATTATAATATATAAGTAAAATATAAAATCAAAAAAATAAAAGTTAGTTTTTTAAGAACTAAAAAAAAAGCAGGAAATATATATATATAAAATCAGATATATAGATATTTAGAGATTACCTAATTATATTACGTAACTAATAAAGATAAATCCCTATTATAGTATATATAATTAAGCTAGCCTTATTAGATAAGGCTTTAGTAAAAGCCATATCTAGTATTATTTTATTATTTAATAAAGTAATAATACTATTTAATATATAAATTAAATTTTAATAATAATTAGTTTATTTATTATAGAAAATTAATATTTAAATATATTTATATAAGTATTAGCTTAGCTTATATAAGGCTATTTAATAAATACCTTAGTTCTTTTTTAATTTTTTTTAATTATATATTAATTTATTATAATTAATTAATTTCCATATAATTATTTATAAATAATTATTCTATTTTATTTAAATTATTTAAGATATTTATTATTTATAAATTATTTATAAATAATTCTTTAATATACTAGCTATAATTATTATAATATAATATACTAGAAGAAATTAGTATAACTAGTAATAAATATTCTAATATTTAATTATATTTAAATAATTAATAATATTTAAATAATATTAAAATTATTTATTAAATTTCTTTAGGAAATTAATTTAATATAAAGAATACTTGTATTAAATATAATATAGAGCTAGCTTATAAAGTAAGCTATTAGATTCTATTTTATTACTAAAGCTCTTATAATTCATATATTTTATTATAATAGTTATATATAAGTATTAATTAAGAAAGTTTTCTAATTTCGGATATTTATAAATAATATTTCTCAAGAACTATATATAGAGTTAGTATTATTATAGATATATGTTTTTGGTTCTAATATAATTCATTTAAAGCTAGATTTGGAAAACTAATAATTATAGTTATTAGATAAAACAGGAAAATATAAAATAACTTTATCTTATATTAATAAACTTATAATTAGCTAAAGCTCTTTAAAAATCTTAAGTTATATTTTCTAATAGAAGTATAAGCTAGTATATTATAATCCTAATACTATAATTATTATAAGAAAGAAACTATAATAAAACAAAAACCCATATAAAGTATACTAGAGTATAAAATATAACTTAATAGTAAAATAATAAAATTAAAAGTATAAATAGTATATAAAAGCTTAATTAATTAAATATTAAGAAGGAATTATTCTCTAGAACTATAGAAAAACCAGCTTTCTTATATAATTCCTATAAGTTATATATAAAAGGCTATAGCCTTTATTATATAACTAAAACCTTAAAACCGCTAAAATAATATAATTTTTAAATAATACGGCTTATTATACTATATTATATGCTTTCTAACTTATAATAAAAAGATTTCTTAAAATAAAATTATAATTTAAGGGAATTTATATATTAATTAATTAGATTTCAGCTTTTGAGCCTATAAAACCCTATAAGTTAGGGATTTATAAGGCTCTTATATTCGATTTTGGGAATTTATTTACTAAATTTCTAGGCTTTCTTAAACTTACCTTTAAATTATAAAATATAGAATTTTTAACTTCTTTAATTTAAGAGCTATTACTAATCCAAATTTTATAAAAAGTTTATATTTAAATAGCTATTAATTAGTACTATAAGTCAAATGCCTAAAAAGCGGGTATATAAGCAAGGCGGTTTTAAAAAACACATATTAGTAAGAAGCTCTCTTACTAAAATTATATAGTTAATAACTTGATATTAAATAATAAGTAAATAGCTATAAGTTAGATACCGAAATAATTATATATTACTAGGTTTTTAAAAGATTATAGTTATATATTATATATTAATTATATAATAGATTAATTATGATTTTATAGTAAGAATATATATATTAAGAGCCAAAAAAGTATAATATATATAATATTAGTAATAATTTAATAAATAATAAGTAAATAGCTATAAGTTAGATACTAAAATAATTACATATTACCAGGTTTTTAAAAGGTTATAGCTATATATTATATATTAGTTATATAATAGATTAATTATAATTTTATAATAAAAGTATATATATTAAAAGCCAAAAAAGTATAATATATATAATATTAGTAATAACTTAATAAATAATAGGCAAATAGCTATAAGTTAAATACTAAAATAATTATATATTACTAGATTTTTAAAAGATTATAGCTATATATTACATATTAGTTATATAGTAGATTAATTATGATTTTATAATAAGAATATATATATTAAGAGCCAAAAAAATATAATATATATAATATATATATTTTAATAAAACTAATATTATATTATTAATAACTTTCTTTATATTAGTTTAAGGCCCTAAAAGGCTATAAATTAAGTACTAAATTAATTATATATATTATAATAGAAAGTATATATTTTAGGATTTAATATATTATAATATATATAATAAATTTATTACCGAGAATTTAGAACTTGCTTAGAGATTAAGGCTAGAGGTATTTCCTAAATCTAAATCCTTTTTATTCTTAGTATAATTAATAATAATTTTTTTAGATATTATTTCTAAATAAGCTAATTCTTTAATAGCCTTTTATTTTTAAACTCTTAGTAAATTATTACCGGATTTTAATCTTTTATTTCTAAATCTAATTCTCTAAGAATATCTTACCTAAAGAAAAGCAAAAAAGAAAAGAAAGAAATAAGGCATAAAAGTAATATAACTAGATAAGTATACTAGTAAGAAAAGTATTAATA